GGGGGCACGTCACCCAGAGAAGAGAAGGCTTAGCAGGGATAGACAGCAGCTGTGTTCAAGACAACTGAAGACTGCACGGAAGGGATGTGTTTTTCGTGACCTTTTGGCATGCCAGTAGTGAGTAGAGACACGAAGCATTTGACAATGGAGGTTAGAAGAAAACCAACACTGTAAGAATTATTTAAGAGTCTGTCCTTAGTGGCTTTTTGTTCTTCCTAAAGTGAAATCAGAATATGAAACACTTTGAAAAATCTATCAAAATACTTTCACATAAGTTTTAACTCCTCCAATTTGTCAATGTCAACTTGTATCTATGTAAGTACATCTGCTCTGCTCTGACACTTTTTAAATTGAAGGAAACACTCTGTATTTAGCTCCAAGCAGCATCTAGGTCACTATTTCCACCTCCTCCTAAGCATTATCATCATGGGCTTTTTACCTAACTAGTACATTTCAATTGTCATCACAGCTTTCCTCGTGATGACATTATTTCTTTTGTCACTGATTTGTAAACTGACGTGATTGCCAACAGTCTTTCTGCAATCTCTAACTACTTACAGAATTACTTTTTCGGATGCCTTAATTATTTCAATCCAATTTATTCTCCGTCATGCTATATCAAATTTTAATTACATTACTGTTTTTGCAATTACTGGAGCAATGAAATGATACTCACATTTTTCCTATACTTACCGCCGAGTAAGTATCATTTGTCTGTTTTCAACCACAGGAATCATAGTGTCTGAAATACTACCATAAGCACTTACCATGCTTAAAACTTACCTTAAATGATCGATAAAATGTCTTTCAAGGAAGAAAAAAAAAGTTCTATTATGTTGGCCCCCAAATTTGTTAGGAGTTTAATTGCCAAGCAATGAAATAGGAAAGATTAATTACTTCGTTAAAGAGAGATTTTTACTTCTGGGTATATCCTCAAAAAAACTGGAAGCAGGGGCTCAAACAGACATTTGTACACCCGTGTTCCCAGCAGCTTTATTCACAAAAGCAAAAGGCCGAAGCAACCCAAGTGTCTGTCAATAGATGAATGGATAAACAAAAATGTAGTATCAACACACAGTGGATTGTTCTTCGGCCTTAAAGGAAGTTCTGACACGTGCGGCAGCCTAGGATGAACCTTGAAGACATGATGCTAAGTGAAACAAGCCAGGCAAATACTATACAATTTCATTTGTATGAGATGCCCAGGGTGGCCAAACTCAGAGACGTAAAGTGGAATGGTAGTTGCCAGGAGCGGAAGGTGAGACCGCTTAAGATTTACTCTCAAATACCCTGTGATCTCACTTATGTGCAGACTAAACAAACAAGCAAACAAATGAGCTTATAAATACCAAGAACAGATTAGTGGTTGCCAAAGGCGAGTGTTGGGGGTAGGAGAAATGGGTGAAGGGGGTCGAAAGGTACAAACTTCCAGTTGTGAAGCAAAGAAGTCCTGTGGATGTGATGTACAGCGTGGACACTTTTGTTAACAATCCTGTATTGTGTATTTGAAAGTGTTGAGAGTACATCTTAAAAGTGCTCATCACATGAAAAGAATTCTGTAACTGTGTGGTGATGAATGTTAACTAGACTTATTAGGGTGATCATTTAGCGATATTTACAAATAGTCAGTCACTCATTAGGTTCTACATCTGAAACTAATATGTCACTTTTATATCTCAATTTAAATTTTTTTTTTTTTTAAATCTACTCGGGGCGCCTGGGTGGCTCAGTCAGTTAAGTGTCCGACTTCATCTCAGATCATGATCTCACGGCTCGTGGGTTCGAGCCCCACATCGGACTCTGTGCTGACAGCTCAGAGCCTGGAGCCTGCTTCAGGTGCTGTGTCTCCCTCTCTCTCTCTGCCCTTCTCTCTCTCTCTCTCTCTCTCAAAAATAAATATTAAATGAAAAAAAAGATCTACTCTCTTAGCCAATTTCAAGTACACAGCACACTATTTTTAACTATGGTCACTATGCTGCACGTCACATCCCCAGGGTTTATTCATCTGATGAAGTTATACTTTCAGTACTATATTCCAAAGTTGATCATATTCACCTTGGGTACACTGTTTTAAAATCTTACAGCCTGAGTATTATTTCATCTTTCTCTTTAGCCACCTTACCGACACACTGGGCCAACCTTGTTTATGTAGCTGCCCCACAGCCAGGAAAGGGTCTCCTATCTTTGAGTGCTCTTAAAGGACATGATAATGAATGGGACTCAGCCAGGCCCGCATCTCAGTGCTGATAAGCCACGAAACGTTAACTTAGCACAAGCCATTTAGGGAGGAAAGGGGAAAAAGACAGACGTCATTTGAATAGGCCAACATTGAAAAATAATCCATCTAACACGAGAACGAATATTTCTGAATACGCACATGCCCTTTCTTCTTAGCAAGCCACCTTTCTCTTGAGGTGAAATATAGGAATAAATGCACTATTTTCCGGTGTTCCTCCAGTGAGCGTTTCCGCATCAGCAGCACATGTCCATACTTTTACCCTTTATATTGACAGCTGTGGGCTCCACTCAGTGGACAAGAGGAAAGAGTTCATTTCCTTACAGTTAGCGTCTGATGAAAGTGTGTGCCGTTTTATCAGAAATGACTCACCAAAGTAGAACTCTTCAATCCTTTCTGAATGATTTTTCACTTTGAAATTTGGGAATTATGCCTTATTTCATGACAAGTGACCTGGGTGAATGATTGTTGCAATGATGCCTCATTTCCCCATCTCAGCCAGCAGACACTCATTTTTCAAAACACTGGACTTTCACTTCGTCTTGTGAATATACACCATTTATGAAAGTCACCCCCCCCCCGCCCCCCCGGAATTGCTGCTCTGATAACCATTTGGAACAGCACCGTCATTTATGTTGGCAATATCCATGCCCTGGGTCGGGTTGCAAAAGAGCCAAAGAAACACGTTTACCATCTAATTCTCACGTTCTAAGGGGAAGTGAACTTTTGGTTATAAATGCTTCTAGCTAAGTCTCTCTTTTCCTAGAAGAGACCTTAAGGGGAAAAGGAATTCTTCAGTTTATATGTTGGTTGGTTGGGATTTAGGGCATGAGCATTTATAAAGTGGCCCATTGTGAATCACCATAATAGCACATAACACATGGCAAATATTTGAGCTGGCAGAGCAAATAGTTCATGTTTGACAGATACTTGTAGGATCCATCGAGAACATCCATTTTTAGAACAGTTTCCCTTTTGTGGTAATAATGTAGGAGATTTGCTTTTGATGTTAAATTCTGGATCTATTTTTTTAATGTTTATTTATTTTTGAAAAAGAGAGAGAGAGCATGCATGAGCGGGGAAGGGGCAGAGAGAGAGGGAGACACAGAATCCGAAGCAGGCTCCAGGCTCAGAGCTGTCAACACACAACCCGATGCGGGGCCAAACTCAAGAATGGCGAGATCATGACCTGAGCCGAAGTCGGACATTCAACTGACAGAGCCACCCAGGCGCCCCTATTCTAGATCTATTTTAACTTGGTCCCCTTTCCAATGCAATTGCAAAAAGTAGCTGCTCCCAGGTTCTAGTATTACTGAGTCCATCTTTTTTGACTATTATATTTAAGTAATTACATTAAATTAATACAAAATTAATACAAACTTCAAGAATGAGTGCAATCTCATACATTGCCAAGAGGACATTTGGAATGTGGAGAATATCTTTCCTGTCTGTGGGCAGAATGCGTTCTAATAGTTTGGCAGTTGATTTTTTTTATCTTCCAGATAATTAATTGTACAATCCATGAATAATCAAAGCTTATCTCTCAGTTCACCACATTTATATTCCTTATATCTTTTTATTTTCTAATTTCATTGGTTATAATCTCTGGGATGATGATAAATAACAGCAATGGCATTGGGCATACATCTTCCTTATCAACTTTAATTTTAAACTGCAAGCAATGTTTCAGCAAAAATAAAAGAAATTTAATAATGAAAGAAAAATCACCCTGAACTCCATGTGAAAGCAAGCTTTAAAAATTACTAAAAATGAATTGTTTGTATATGAATAGAAAAGCAGGAAGGATTTACACCAGACTGCTATGGGTAGTTCTTTTAAGGGTGTAGAATTCTGAAGCAGAAACAGGGGTGGAGAGGAAGACCCACCTTCTGTTTTATATACTCCTGTATAGCTTGGCAATGAGCATTTTCTACTTCTATAATTTTAAAATGCATCGTGAAAAAAATACAAAGAGTACAGTGTGTAAAGACTTTCTTTACATATCAAGATTTAAAGACGTGCACATTGTTAACGGCTAAAATTTAACTTTTGTTCACTAAGTTCAATCTCAACTAAATGAGACAAAGATTAGATAGACAAGCAGATGACAGAAAGATTGGTAGAGATACTGATATAAATGTATACCCACTTACTGTTACTAGAAAGTCCAAAAACAAAAATATGGGCACAGAAAGGAAATGGGTAAAAGAAAAAGCTTACAGGGGTCCCTGGGTGGCTCAATCAGCTAAGCGTCCTTCCTTTGATTTCAGTTCAGGTCATGATTTCACGGTCGCAACACTGAGCCCCACATCAGTCTCTGCGCAGAGCCTGCTTGGGCTTCTCTCTCGCTGCCCCTCCCCTGCTCGCTCGCTCTCCTCTCTCTCTCTCTCTCAAAGTAAATAAATAAACTTTAAAAAGAATTTTAAAAAGAAGAAAAGGCCTACAGACTACCAGGACAGGATTCTGGGGCAGGGAAGTCAGAACTATTATCTCCCCCCGCCCCCGCCCTGGGATGCAGATGGGGAAATTATTTCATAGGCTGAAGAGAATTTGAATTGCTCACATCATGAGATGTTACGAAACCTTAATGATTTCTGGTAAAAAGTTTTTCCTTCTGGGACACCATGGGAGAGTCTAGGAATCAGAGGAATCCATCTGTATTGTTCATCCCAGTATTTAGGGTGGTACATCAATGATAGAGCGACCATGTCTTATTACTACTTACATTTCTACTAAACGTGCCCTTTCCTTTTTTCTCTTTTAGGATTTCCAATGAACACTCCCCCAAACTCCAGATCCGGAGTCACAGTTACCTGAGGGCAGTAAGTGAAGTCTCCATCAATCGAAGCCTGGACAGCCTTGACCCTGCCGGCCTGCTCACATCACCAAAGTTCCGCTCTAGGAACGAGAGCTACATGCGAGCCATGAGCACCATCAGCCAGGTGAGCACTGTGGCCATGGGCCATGGGCCATGAACTACATAAGGATTAGTGGAAACAGAGGGCATGAAGCGAGGAGATGGCCACTCGCAGAGTAAAACCACTGAGGGGTCAGGTGGGAGGCCTAATCTAAATGCTACACGTATTCACCTAAGGCAAGCACCTGGTATCAGCAGTCTGCCAGCAGAGAAGGGGTCCTCTGCAGAGGGATAAAGGACATTGGAGCGAGTCCTCGGAAATTCATCAGCAGTCAGTACCAGCAAATGTGCCCTTAAGGAGTTGATGGATAAGGTTGAAAAGACTCTTGAAGGACAGAAGGACAGCATAGACATCACTGGCAAAATCAAGGCAGCGTCTAATCACAAAAGTACAAGCGTTGAGCAAGTCTTGATAGACAGCAGCCTGAGGACAGGAAATGAGATACAGTCTACTTATCTCAACGGGGTCCCAGGTGAATCTTGGTATCTTGGTAATGAGACAAAAGTCACTTCTAAGAACTGGTATCAGGACTGGGATGAAGGAAGACTCAGGCATCTTAATGCTAGATCCAAAATATCCAGGCCCTCCCATCAAAGTTTCAGAGAGTGGGAGAGGACTGGGCTACCTAAGATCAGGGGGCAGAGAGAACCTGGGGCTCTTTGAAGACCGGACCCTGCAGCTTTCGGAGCCACCAGGGGAGCAGAAGTTGCCACTAGGGACGCCTTCCTGTGGGAGCACAAAAAGAAGGATGTTTTGTAAATGATGCCCAGGACCTCTGAAGTTAAATTTCTATCACAAAAATAACTGCCATACTATCAATTCAGCTAATATTTATTGAGCAGAACACTGGACCAGATTATACAAGTTATTCAGTGATTAACAGTACAAAATCCATTCCCGCCAAGAGCTTGTAAGAGAACATACAAAGAAGATAAAAGTGCTCTCACAGTTATTATTTACTTGAACACTACAAAATACTCTGAGGGAGGTAGGGCAAGTGTAAGAGGCTCCTTTACTGGGTCCCTCTGCTAACTGCTTTATATTTCCAGAATGTTATTTTATAAAACACTCTGTAAGAGACGGAAGAAACCAGATGTCAAATGAGACTTTGTGGTCACAAAATTGTCAACAAGATCCTGAAGCTAAGGAGAAAAAGGTGCTAAGAACAAAGATTCTAAAGAGAGAGCTTCCAGGCATGCAGTCTAGGAATATGCATTTTAACAAATATTCCAAGGGATTCTAATAAAGTACTATTTGATCTGGACTTTGAAAAATGCTTCCCTAATTCAAGGAATAGTGAGTGTTCTAGTTTTGGTGGAGCTCAGAATACTTGTAGAGGCAGCAATGGGAAGTCTGTCCTGAATTTTGCCCTGGAGATATTTTTTTTTTTCTTCTCAACGTTTATTTTTTTGGGGGGGAGAGAGACAGAGCATGAACGGGGGAGGGGCAGAGAGAGAGGGAGACACAGAATCGGAAACAGGCTCCAGGCTCTGAGCCATCAGCCCAGAGCCCGACGCGGGGCTCGAACCCACGGACCGCGAGATCGTGACCTGGCTGAAGTCTGACGCTCAACCGACTGCGCCACCCAGGCGCCCCTGGAGATATTTTTTTTAACGCATGGCCTTGCATGCCAGCTCCAGAGGACTGGACTTCATTTATTAGGAATGGAATTGATTAAAAATTAATTAAAACTTCAGCTTTTAAGCAGCAAGAGATATGATCAGAACTTTGATACAAGAAAATTCATATTCAACAAAGGCAGGGACCATAGCAAGGTTCTGAGAGCAGGGCAGAGTGGGAACAGGGAAAGCTAGCCTTGGGGACTCCAATATCTGCCTACTGTACATTTGCTTACTTTAGAGAAGGCTCCAAGAACATGCATGCCAATGTGTGTTAGTTAATGCTGTCCAATGACACTCATCCCAACACTCAGGGAAATTAGTTGGTGCCTCATTTGGTGAAATTTTGACTTGTCTGTCTTTACTTTTTTCACACTAAGCAATATAATATTTTAAATTTCTTTAAGCTTATCTTTATTCCGGACAGCCTCATGGTCACATAGCCTTCCAGAAATATAAAATAGTCTATAAATCCAGCTGTCATACATGTAGAATACATCGATGGATTTTTTTAAAAAATTTTGGGGGTGCCTGGGTGGTTTAGTTGGTTGAGTGGCCAACTACGGCTCAGGTCATGATCTTGCAATTTGTGGGTTCAAGTCCCATGTCAGGCTCTCTGCTGTCAGCTCAGAGCCTGGAGCCTGCTTCAGATCTGTGTCTCCCTCTCTCTCTGCCCCTCCCGCACCTGTGCTCTGTCTCTTTCTCTCAAAAATAAATAAATATTTTAAAAATTGTCGAAAAATGCTTATACCCATTCACTGCTTTCATAACGTTAAATGTTTAAATTTTCAATGTTCAAGACAGGAGAAACATGCTACTTTGCCCCATCAGGACATTGCGTCTATGCAGCTGTCTGACTTGGGTCCCTGTGCCACAGATCGGACCTTCCTGAGACAATATCCCTTCCTAGTGACAACCTAGTAAAATATCAACAAATCACTGAAGAAATGCATGTGGGCCCCGATGCTATGGCGGGTCAAGCTCTGCAATTCGGTGGTATAATCATTCAGCCTTGAGTAAAATACAGAAAGAATAGCCATCCTAAATGGATTCCTAATGCTACATCATTTTTCTAGTTCCGTATTCAATTTTCAAGTAACACAATATCTTTAAGGATAATTTCAAACTTTCCATTGCAGTCCCAACACTGTCATTATTCAAAGGAGAATAGTTTCTTCTTCCAAGCAATACTACCATATAGATTCTAGACTTTTCAAAAAGTGGTTAGCTTTTATGATGTTGGGATGTTCTCTCTTATAGATCTTTAGTAGCAGCTCTAATAGTATAGAATTTAAATGCATGCTATCCTATTCCCTTTTAAAACCTGCCATTTTAGTCATCAAGGGCTCCTGGAAAGATCAAACTAAAATGTTGTAAGAGAAGATATTGGTCTAGAATAATTAAGCTGTTTGTTTCTGCCATTCATACCTGATAGAAGTAAAATATCCCTAAAAACAGATAGTGCTTGCATGATAGAGAAAAACTGACCTTTTTTAATATTTATTCCCTTTCTATGTTTTTTTAATTATATATCCATCTAATAAGATGGAGCTTTCTAAAGTAAAGCTTGAGAAGAAAGAATTTTTAAAAGTCACATGTGAAAAAAAAATATTTAGTATAATAACTAGGTCATTTCCAAATTGGCTCAATTTATGTCCTCATTCACTTCAAGTCCAATTCTCAAATATCTTCATCTGGAATGGTAAACCAGAAGCCTGCAGACATCTTTTGTCTGGCAATATGTTGGATTTTTACATCATTTTTTAAAAGTGAGGAGACAGGGGCGCCTGGGTGGCTCAGTTGGTTGAGCGTCTGACTCTTGCTTTCACCTCAGGCCACGATCTCACCATTTCCTGGGTTTGAGCCCTACATCAGGCTCCGCACTGACAGCACAGAGCCTGCTTGGGATTCTCTCTCACTCCCTCTCCCTCTGCCCCTCCCCTGCTCATGCTCTATCTCTCAAAATAAAATAAACTTAAAAAAAAGAAGTGAGTACACAGTTATTATGTTCAGCAGTAATCGTAGCAATTTAGCTGTGATTTGTGACCTAGGCCATCCCTTCATTGTATATATACCAAGAAATAAAAACTCAGATATAGATAAGTATCTATAAATATAGTCGGTAACAGAACCTAGAAACCCAAGTGTCCTGACTCCTAACTGATAAGTTTCTTCAAAGCCTGCTGGTATCGGGGTATTGATGGCAACAATATTGCTAATAATAATAGTAATCGTGAAAATGATAACAATGGAACGGTCATCATGTCTTGCTTGCCTGATACATACTAGAAGCTTTTCATATTCTCTCATTAATTTCATATCAACTATAAAAACGATCATTTTTTAATTTATGAAATTTAGTCTTAGAGAATTAGTATCATTTGTTTCATTCTTCCCACTACACTATCTCACAGAATAACATCCACCATTTATGTATAGTGTATGTATAGTGGATGTGCCTAGAAATATAATATGCATTTTAAATGTTCTATTTTTATCCTTAGAGCATACACTGGAGATAGGTATCATTATACCCATTTTACAGATGACGAAAGTGAGGTCTAGAGAATTCAAGCAAATTGCCCACGACATAGTAGAAAGAACATTAAACTACTCCTTCCCATATAATAAAACCAAATAGATCTCAAATATATACAATAACACAAAATGACAAAAATTAAAATTTATAAAATATATGTCTGATATTGCGGTAAGACTAATAGAACTTTTAACAATATAAGAATTCTAGAAAACATAAACGATTGACATCTGTTCTAACTGAAAACTAAATTCTGTGACAAAAGATATCATGAAGTTAAAATGCAACTGAGGATATTTAAACGTATCAAGAAAGCAGGTGAATGTTCCAGTTGCCTAAAGTATATTTACCAATAAGTAAGAAAAGAAAAACAGCCTAAAAGAACGTAAGGCAAATCTTATGAAATAGCAAATTAGAGGGAAAAAAATACAAAGACCGATAAATATAAGAAAAAATGCTTAAATACACTAGCAGGCTGATAAAGACAAACTGAAAAAGCACAATACATTTCTGACCTAGAAGAGTTGCAAAAAGTGCTAATACCCAGTTCTAGTGTCCATGCTGAGAAATGAGCTGTTTGGAGTGAACTGCCACCATTGCCACAGAAAGTAAGTCGATGAACATCTACAACAGTATAAAACATCCCTTTTGGCACAAGAATCCCACTTTCGGCACTCTATAATACAGAAAATAAAAGCACCAGTATATAAAGATAAACGCACAAGAGTGTTGGTCATAGCGGTCTCCAAGTACATATCTGAATCATCATCCACGATGGAGTGGTTGAATAAATTATGGTATAATCATCCTATACAATTTTACAGTGGTAGTGACTTAAGTGTCCGAATTTCCCTGAGTCTCCATAT